GCTAACACCAGTGATAAACTATCAAATATCTGTAATCTGCCTTCGCCTACTGTTTTGTCACTAGTGTTAATGGCCACACAATCACCTCCTCAGAACTCAAACTTTCTCCCTAGGACAAGATGCCCTCAGTCATTGAGAAGACCTCTACCAGTTACTGTACTCGGGGGTATGCAGACCTAGCTAAATAAATATTGTCAGAAGCTGATTTAGAATATTATCTTATCTTCAACATATTCAAGTCACTTTATTGAAAGGAACATCCCCCAAATCTTCATATGACTTCTAGCACAGTGGTCAGGTCTGCTAGAAAAAGAAAATGTGTGTTAAGTAACAAAAATGGCCACAAATTCTTGCCGTCCCGCACACATGCTCCCTTCCATGTGACTGTGCAGATCTTCCTGTCTGGAGAGACACTGTATTTCTCTGCTCCCTGAGTCTGGGCTCGGACATGAGACTTGCTTTGGCCAACAAGGCAATAACAACTTGATACAAACAGAGGCTTGTAAACGGCTTGTACACCAGAGCTCGCCCCCTGGCTGCTCTCAGGAACCCTCACACCAGCATCGTGTGAATGAGCTCAGGCTGGCCTGCTAGACGCTGGGACACATGGCCCAGAGCCCTGTGTGGCCTCGCCAACAGCTGGCACCCACCAGACGTGAGAGTGAGGACCTCAGCTACCAACGGACTGTAATGTGTGTGTAAAGCCAGGCAATATCAAGAGGAGCAGGACCAGTCTGGGCTCAGATTGGTCCCAGCTGGGCTCAACCAAACTGCTCTTCCACAGAATCATGAATAAATAAATAGTTGTTTTAAGCGGTAGTTTGTTTTGCAAACACAGTGATACAGATGTAAAAATGCCTTAGAACTGAAGCGTTTTAGGTCTTCTTGACAACAGAACAGTCTACCCCGGGTTTAATATGTTATAATGAAAATGAGCTTCCAACTCAGATGGATGGGATTTCCACTCCCATGAGTGACTGCGAGTTGAGGCTAACCAAAAACCTTGCCAAAGCAGATGGCTGAGAGGCACAAACAGCCTACCCAAGACCTTCAGATCCAGCAGGCGATTTTGGAAAAGCAAAGTCCACCCAACACAATGAAACCTGACGGAACTTTTGTTCTGTCCACTCAAACTGACTAACTATAATGGGCGACTGCCTTCCTTTTCTATACTCTCTAGGACTCTACTTTCCTTCATTTGCCCCCTCCCTTTTCCGAAACATTTCTTTTTCCTTGTTTCAAAGAATGATCAGACCATGACCTCCTCGGCTAGACTGACCTCTTGTTGAACCTGTTATCCATCAGGAACTCCAAAGGCCACTCAAATCATGGGAACACCTCTGCTTAGTGCTAGCAAACAACTCCATGAAGGATAGGATCTGAACCCGTCCTCTATACTTCAGAACATACAGCAAATACTTCTAGAACCAGACACTCAGACGGTTGTCACACAGAATTACACACAGCGAGTATTTTATCCAAAGAGCAAAATCAACCCAATCACCTCTTTTTTTTTTTTAAGATTTTATTTATTTATTTGACAGAGAGATCACAAGTAGGCAGAGAGAGAGAGAGAGAGAGAGAGGAGGAAGCAGGCTCCCTGCCGAGCAGAGAGCCCGATGCGGGACTCGATCCCAGGACCCTGAGATCATGACCTGAGCCGAAGGCAGAGGCTTAACCCACTGAGCCACCCAGGCGCCCAACCCAATCACCTCTTAAAATAATCCTGGGAGTCTATGGTACTGTCAGAACCCATGCAATTATTGGAGAAAATGACCAAAGGAAATAAAAATGCACAGCAAGCTTCCTGAGAAATTCCCTGCAACTCTTTCAATGGTACAAAATACCTCCTATACAACAACTTACATCCTTACTCCTAAGGTAACACATTATGAAAAAATAGAAAGGAAAAAATCTTTGTTTGGGAAAGTATGCTACAAAATGTCCACTGAAATAGTATCATTGTCTGAATAATTCAGGGAAAAAGACACACTTTCAATGATACCTATAGACCCTATCAATTATGTAGTACCAGGCCTGTTCTTGGGATTTCTTACTAGTTACTATGAAGATTTTAAACCCTCTTTAGTCCCCTCCATCTGGGTCTCTTCCGAGGTTTCAGTGGAGTGACCTCCGGAGGTTAGAGGAGTCTAATGATTTCTTGAGGGGCTTTTGCCTTGATTAGGGGTCCCTGTACTCAAGAAATGTATCAGGAACTTATCCCGCACTATGACTGAAATTATAAATGAGACCATTCACATCATAGACACCCAGCAAAAGAGCATCAATTTGCTCACTCCCTTGGCAATTAATGGGCCATCACGCAGTTTTACAATATTTATTGGCCTCACAAGGGGGCATCTGTACTCTGGCTAACATTTCCTATTGTTTCTAGGTAAACACTTCAGGACAAGAAGAAAAAAAAATCTTTTAAAAAAATACAGACAAAGGCTGATTATTCTCAAAGTTTTGACAGTCTGTGACTTGGAATCTACTCTCCCAGCATGGGCTAGGTCAAATAAAAGACTGGCATACTGAAATTTTCTAAACTATAATGATGGGATTTCTCATGATAATAATCCTGTTTGTTTTTCTCCATTCCATTTTTAAGACAGTCTTTAAAACTACAGTGGAACTGATGTCTGATGACCAGATGATGATTCTATGGTAGGAAGAGACTGAATTCCTTGTGTTTAAACTTCATACCCCAGGAGAGGCAGATGACCAAAGGGAGGGAGGACATAGCCTTTACAAGGCTATCCAGCCTGACCCGTAAGTAGACCACACTGCATGCCCAATGTCCTTCACACTCAAGTTTTGTTAAACGGGTACACATGTGGACAGAGGGTAGAAAAGGGTACTGCTGTGGGATTTCTCAGCAGCGTCACAGAAATACTAAGGATTCAGCTATCCACTATTGTCCGTTACTCACCTGCAAGGAAATGCCATAGCATCAGGGCATTTTTTAAAAGAGAAAAATGTTCCAACTACAGAATTATTCTTAGAGTAGGGGTGGTAATCCACCATGAACTATTTTGTTTATTTTATAGAAAAATGTTTTGAGTTTTTAAATAGAAAAGCAATAAAACCGATCTAAATATATATTTAGCATTTAAGAAGCAAAATTGAGAGACCAGGAATAGGTAAGAGATAAGAAATACACTGACCTAATCATCTTTTAAAAATGGAAAGATTCATGTAGGAGTCTATTAATGTGCACAAAAGGCAAATTTACTTGAGGACTTATACCAAGGGAACATTTTGAATACCTGCTATCCTGATGTTAAGGCTAAGCCTAGCAATATTCACAGCCTTGATCTTCACAGAGTCTGCCTCTTGTAGCATGTTTCCTAAATAGTTCATTCTAGAAATTGAAATTATAAAATGAGGTTTCTTAAATCTTGTAACTTCAAAAATGCCATTTATTTTACACACACAATTTATTCCAAAAGGATTTGAGGTGGTTGGCAGAGGAATACATATAGGAGTAGCCCTGGCCAGAAATCCCATAAAACAAAATACTGATGAGCAGACAAAAAAAAAGTCTCTTCTCCCTCCCCCAGAAAAGTTTAAGCAAATGAGGAGTGGAATAAATCAAAGTTTATACTTCTACCCTAAAATTAGCAAAGGTGAGTTTCCTACAGTTGATGGGGGCGGGGGGAGAAACAACCAATACCTTTAAAAAATGCTTTTGCTAAAATTAAGAAACATCCTTCTCAGAAAGCAGCAGCTGTGAAAATGAGAAACCAAGGGGTCCTGTATAAAATGAAGCAGCGTTCACCCTAGCTAGAGATTTGTAGATGAATGTCAAATACCAAGTATGATACAGAGAATAGCATTTTTCTTCCACTTGTTTCATGGGAACGATTACAAGCAGAGCTGTCCAAAAAGCAATACCAAGGAAAAATGGGTTCTAAAGTGAAACCTAAGCATTTCCGTTACAGCATATCCGAGAAGCTGGAGGAGCTGACATAGGAAGAAATGTGCGTGGAAGGCTGACACCTCTCCATAGGTTTTTGCAGCTTCTGTCTTCAGTGAGAAGGCATCCTCAGACTCCTCCAGAATTCCCCAGGCAGTGGGCCCTACTAGAAGCTTAAGGAATTCTACATTGCTCTTGAGTAATTTTTAACTTCGAAAGTATATTTTAACCACCTGGGAAGGTCTTTTTTCTTTTTTAATACCAATGCCCAGGCCCTATCCCAGATCAGTGAGGTCAGCGTCCCTGAGAATGGAACAGAGGTGGTTTTAAAGCTCCCAGGGACTCTAATATGCAGCCAGACCAAGGAACCCAGGCAAATGCTGGACAAAGTCAAGGACGAGTATAGTGACTGTGTGTTTGAACTTCAGTTATGACAGGAAAATATGTTCAGGGAGATGAGGCATTTTTGTTTATGTTTAAGTTTTTGTTTTGCTTTGTTGCTAATTCTAGGCTATCCTACTTCTCATTGGGCTTACCCTCTGGTGTAAGATGCTTCAGTTCCTCAAGATGATGACACCCACCATTCACTGAGCTCTTACCTGGTGCCAGGCACTGGGCTGAGCATCACTCCCAACATTATCGATAATCCCCATTATCCTGCAAAACAAGTATTAAACCCTCCTGCCCAGGCAGCCATGAAGAAGGGGCTTATCTGCTCCCATCACAGAGCAAGAAGGTGAAGCAAGTGAAACTAGAATTTCAGTTATGCTTTGGTTTTCTTTCAATTTTATGTGTTTATGCTTTTGAAAGGTAATTTAGTCACATTGTAAAGTATAAATGTTTATAAGGCATACATGGGAGGTATAAAAAAAATTAACCTCACTTAATTTTTTCCATCACACTGCAATTCAGATACATAGTGGCTTCAGTCATCCTTGACTCCTATCACCTAGCCACTTGGTCCTCCTCCCCAGAAACAAGTTAGCAGTTTCTTGTTTATCCTTCCAAAGATATTTAACGCGTCATTAAGCAAATGTATGTATGTATGTATACGTGTGTGTACATACCACATGTTTGGATTCCCCTCCCCACTGTACATGATGGTAGCTATTTTGCCCACAGTTTTTTTTTCACTTTAACGATATTTCTCAGAGACAATTCCACATCAACATGTAAACATTTTACAATTCTTTTTTGTACTATATAGTACTCCATTATACAGATATACCACAACTTTTTTAGTCAGTCCCTTATTGACAGGCATTAGATTGCTGCCAATCATTTGTTGTTACAAAAAAATTCGGAATGAATAGCCCTGAGCAACATCGTTTCATAACTACAGATAATTATATCCATAGAATACATTCTCACATGTCAAAAGTCATGCGCTTTCCACTACTCCAAGCCGCCTCAGGATTCCAAGAAATAATTCAGACTCACAGTGATTTGTATTTAAATTATTTTATTTAAAATTTTTACCTAAATACCCAAATTATGTTTTTGAATTTAATAAAAAATTAGAAATTGTTTTTCAGAATATGCTCAAAACACCAAATAGTTTGAGACATGGTTTTATGCTTGAGAAAAATGACTTCAAAACCAGTGGCACAAATACTATGCTGGCTCTCACTTCCCTTTCAGAAGGTATCTGCTCCTGAGGAGTCCGTGTCCCCCTGGACGGTGCTGATGCTCAGAGACTGAGAATAGTCCTCCAGCTTCACTGAGGGCAGCGTCACAGACATCTTGGTGGGTGATGTCTGCGAAGCAAAAAGTGGTACCTCTTTACCGCCTGCAAAAAGGAGAAACACATTCAGCTAAACAAGCACATCCTGAGTACTTAGATGCTATAAGCTTTCTTGACTAATATCAGGCGAGGGCATCCAAACAAGGATTGCATATGAGATCATTTCTTTCCTTAAGGACCTCGGAGCTCAGAACTTCTCAGAGATAACATACACCTTCCTCCTTTCTTCTCCCTCCCCTAGACAATTATGGACAACATTTTAAAAGTAGGTTATGATTTGACTATTTACACTCCCCTCCCCAACATTCGTTTGTTGAAATCTTAATGCCTGATGTGACAGTATTAGGAAGAGGGGACTTTGGGAGGTGCTTAGGTCATCGGAGTAGAGCCCTCATGAATGGGATTTATAAAAGAGGTCCTCCGCAGAGCTTGTTAGCCCCTTCCACCATGTAAACACACAGTAGAGAAAAAAAAAAAAAAAGAAAAAAAAAAAAAAAAAAAAGACAGTGAGAAGGTGATGGCTGTGAACCAGGAAGAGGAGATTTATTTTGATTTCTCCAGAAGTGTGAGGAATAAAATTTCTGTTGTTTATAAGCCACCCAGACAGCAGTATTTTGTGACGGTAGCCTGAATGGACTAAGATGATACCCAAGTGCCAAGAGTTGTGGTCCAATTGACAAAGGCCAGGTAAGACCAGGTAGGGTCAGAATCTAGTCTCTGAAACCCAGACTTACCCTCTTACTCACTGTATGACCTCAGCAAATTGTTTCACCACTCAAAATTTCAGTCCTTTCATATTAAATGGGTTGGCTACTAGTACCTACCTTGCAGAGTGTAATGAGGACAAAATAGTATCGGTAAAGAGCCTGACAACAGAGCTTAGCACTTAGCAAGTGCTTGAAAACTCAGAGTTACCAGTACCACTAACCAGTACTATTTAGTATAGTACTAGCGCTACTATCATTACTATTACCATCAAGTAAATAGCTAAGTCTAATTTTAAAAAAACACACTGGAACAGCCCTAAAATAAGGATTTGCTACTAAGTTACAAAAAGAACGTGACTTTTTTAAAAAACTGATATGAACCATGTGAAAATCATCTGAGGTCAAAGGTTGCCAAGGCACTTTGTTTACCCTTTTTCCTACTCCTACAAAATGAACGCTCACCTCAGGATCATGTCATTAACGCTCATTCCTGAGTGCCTAAGAATGCTGTGCTATTAACAGAACTGATAGAAGGGAAACAAGGTTAAAGGAAAAAAGTAATAAAGTGATCATTCAAATAACATTGACATTTGACTTTGGAAAGTATTTTTTTCTGTAAAACAGACTTTTCTTCATGATTGCTACATTTAACCAAATACAGAAAAAAAAATCTCCACTCCATGGACTGAGAGTAGTGGGAGGCAATAAAGAAGCCAGCCCGTGGCAGAGGAGACAGTCTGGGATGAAGAATTCATTAATATGTTAAACATAAATCCAGAGTTGACCATAAATGTAATCTGTCTGCCTCTACCCTAACTCACTTCTTTAAGTTTAAAGCACACCATCTAAGAACATGAAGAATGCCAACTTGCTATTATTTAAGACTACAAAAATCCCTGTTTCAGATTTTATGGCTTTACTACATATACATAAAAATAATAAGCATCTTAAAAACAAATTATCTTTAATAATCTTAAACAGATTTCTGAGTCAAGAGCCATAGTAATTTTTCTAAAACTCCTTTATATTTTTCAAGTAGTTTTCACAGTAATAAAGTGGAATTCTCCACTACATTTTATAGGGACTACGGTAAAAGTAGACATTTTCAGAAATTTCAGTGATGATTTAATCACAGCTTTCCAAGAAAATCGGAGTATTTGTAAAACCCAAACTCCTTCACATTAGGAAGTCTTACAAAGACAATATTATACCATTCCTTTTTGTTATTTGTTTTAATTTCATTTTTTTAATAAAAGAGGGACAGATAATAAGAATTGGCAACATTATAGCAACATCACAAATTATCATACCACAGTATAATCTTCTAAGAAGAAAACAAGCCTTATGTCAATTTGAATAGAATAAATATTTTAAATAAGGAGAGACTTTTTGAAATTTAATTCTGTCAGGATATGATAAAAACTAAAATGAAGACGCAATAAGAACTGCTTTAAAAAAAGATCTTTATAGGACATAAACACTATTTAAATGTTCTGTCATTTTACAAAGTCATGATTCTGAGCACACAAAATAACCAGGAAAAGTATCCAAGATCAGAGCTTACTTCATCAATAAAGTAAAAACAAATATAAAGTATAACAAACACCAAGAGCAAAATTAATCTTCAACCCATAAAAACTCAATGTTACCTTCCCCTACTAAGTAAAGGAATGGAAAAAATTGGAATTTTTTAAGGAACTAATTCCTTAGTTGCCTATCTGTCAAAACCCTACTGATACCAGATATTCTTTTTTCTGTTACGTCACAAAACTGCTTTACGTGTACCTTCCTTTTCTACTATGTGCACTAAATTACTGAGTAAATTGCTCAATGATGTAACAAGAGCTATAACTTTTTTTGGATCTCAAAGAAATTTGCAAGTCTCAGAGAACATATTAAATTCAATCACTGCAAAGTTATGCTATTTCTCATAGTTAATGCCTTATACTTACACAGCAATTCATAATTGCAAATATCTTTCCCCATCATCTTACCTCATCCTGACAGTAATTCTGGGAGACAGAGAAGGCGACTGAGGCAAATGGACAATAAAGTGGGCTTTTCCAAAGCATACTCTCACCAACTAAACATCCCTACAAGCCTATGTTCTGAGAGATTCACAGATGAAGAAGAAATTGTCCTCATCCTCAAGAAGCACATAAGCTAGAAGCAGAGACAGATGTGTACAGCAATAGTTAGTTAAAGTGACAAGTAAGTTAAAATGACATAGAATAAATGAAACAAGATGGGATTGGGAGGGAGACAAAGCATAAGTGACTCTTAATCTCACAAAACAAACTGAGGGTTGCTGCTGGGAGGGGGGTTGGGAGAGGGTGGTTGGATTATGAACATTGGGGAAGGTATGTGCTATGGTGAGTGCTGTGAAGTGTGTAAACCTGGCGATTCACAGACCTGTACCCCTGGGGATAAAAATACATTATATGTTTATAAAAAAATAAAAAATTTAATAAATTAAAAAAAAAAAGAAAAAGTGAGTAAGTAACACACACACAAAAAAAATGACATGGAAGTAGCAGTTGAAGTTGAAGGATTTCAAAGATGTGGAAGGTGATGAAGGAAAAAACCAACAAAATAAAGTCAATTTGAAGTCAGTACTTTTTTTTTTTTTAAGTCAGTATGTTAAAGGAACTCTGTTCTGAAATCAAAGTACTAATTGGATTGAAGGAATGGTGAGAGAAAGGCTGTAAAGGAAGGTCAGGGTCAAGTTCTGTAAACAATGATGAGTCACAAGATTCTGAACAGAGGAGTTGGATGACCAAATATATTTTAGAAGAGAGAATTCCAACAGCTGTGTGCAAAATAAGGAGAGATAAGAGAGATCTATGGAAATCGTCCACTCAAGAACTGGAGATCCTTGCCACTGGAAATAGATTCAAGGTTTTGGCGGAAGACTCCCAACTTATAAAGAATTGAGTATGGTCCTGAAATTACAGGGTTAGTTGACTGATTAGGCAGTAATTAGAACACAAACCAGCCTGAGGCTATGGGGTTATAAAGAGGTGTGGAGATACTGGGATCAGTTACATACCTGATGAGCGTGAATGCCTACAAGATATGTGAATGGACTTCTCCAGCAAGCAACTGGAATCAAAGGTGTCAGAGACCATCAGGCAGTTTCAGAGACAGAATTAACAGTCATCTATATAGATACAATAATTAGAGTAATGAGAACAGTGATAACCTAGGGAGAGAAAATAGGCTGAGAAGAGAAATTATGACAAAAATTCGAGGAAGGACAAAAAAAGGTGAATGAAGAGAAAATAACGAAAAACAAAAGGGAAATATCAGAGAGATACGTAGGAAGAGACCGAAGAGTAAAGAGTCACACGAGGTAACAGATGATTAAAAAAAAAAAAGTCTCGTATAATTCATCTAATTAATTCAAAACTGGAAGCGCTGAGACATCTCACTGCCTTCTGCACTATAGCAAGTATCTCCATGACTCAAACAAAAAAAAAAAAAAGAAAGAAAGAAAGAAAAAAAATGACTTTTAAAAAGGTGGGTAAGATAAATTCCATTCATGTAATGTGCAATAGTAGGGGCAGGTAAGGAGAGGAGCAGTAATGAGTCCCTTTATGACGGGCCAAGTCTAGGGTCCAAATGAGATCTGCTGTCCAGTCACTTGGGAACAGTCCCATCCAAATTGTCAGCGTGAGGCTTCTGGAATAAGGCAGAGCAGAGCTCTTCCATCTATCCACCCAACAAATATCAACTGAGCACCTACTATGTGCCAAGCACTGTTCCAGACTCTGGAGATATCAGCAATGAAGAGAACAAAGGCTCTATCCCATGGCCATCATAGTCCAACTGAGGGTAGGGCAGATGACACACACGAAGGAAACAAACATAATATGTCAGGAGGAGATATGTGTTATAAAGAAAAATAGGTAATGGGTAAGAGGGATGGTGAGGGATAAGAGATTTTAGGAAAGTTATGTAACTTCTGCACACCCTAGTTTCCTCATCCTTAAAATAAAGATAAGAGTACCTTGCCCAGGGGGTTTTATGAGAATTAAAAGGGATAATGCGTATGCTGTGTTCTGTTTAGTGCTGGCACACAGAAAGCACTCACAACAGAGCAGCTCTTCCTTTTAGGTAACTGGAAAGGAACTATCCCAAGAGGTGATGACCCTCAGGATGGGCTGCAAAAGGTAGTCTGCTTTAGAGAGGATAAGAATGTTTCACTGAAATGCACTAAGAAAAAGAAAAAAAAACACAGTTCTAGAAGGCCTCCAAATAGTTACGCTATTTTAACTCAAGTAATTATGTTTTAGTCAACAAGTTAAGCCAATAAAATGCACCATTTTATCCAAAGGT